CTTTGTAATACACTGATAACCACCAAATGCAGGAGGTGATGAGAAAGCCACATGATGAACCAAAGCCCATCACAAGCAGCTTTTAAATAATAACATATATAGAAGGTGCACAGTGTCATTCACACAGAGACTAAACACCATCATGGTAACATGCATGAAACTGAAATAATGCAATAAACATTTATTTAACAACATTAGGTGTAACACACAACCCTAATATACAAAACTGATAAGAAAAAACTAAGAAGAAACAGTTATTTCAACAAAAAAACATCACATTTGAAATGTAATGCAGGGGAAATTCTGAGAATGTCAATTTACTTAATTGTAAATTATACAGTCTTTTTCACTTCCAAAAACGGTATACTACTGTAAAATTAATGTCCAATACTTGTAATGTCCAATACAGTTTTTCACTGTATATAGTAGGGGAATTTACCATTAACCATTTAACAGGATTTTACTGTAGCATTTTTACAGTCTTTTACCGTTAAATTCACGGTCATTTTTTACAGTGTATGTACACACTGGCAATAGAATTTTTTTTTGTATCAATAAATCATTTGAAATTGAAATACATTTGCTATATCATTTGAAAGCATAACAACGAACTAAACTTTTAAGAAGCATCAGGCAATCAACATTTTTTTATGAAAGAACTTTGGTAATCAGAAATAAAACATGGCAACATGCATTTTTAATGATTTATTATTCAGGGCTAACGACAGACATCATTTAGTCAGCTAGTGTGAGATTTAGTTGCATATGCGAGTGTTTTACTCCAATGTAGAGGATTATGAATGAGTGCTGTGCGATATTTTACTACACTTTTTTAAATTATTGACATGTACCTAGAGTGATATTTAACCCTCTGTTGCATGCATTATTTAAAAAAAAAAATGGTTGGTTCCATTTTCATGCATAAGAAAAATTATATTTGGGAATTGGGAGGACTTTTAACTGTAAAGTAAATACCGAAAAATTATTAATATGGATAAATGAATCATTTAAACAAGCAGTGTGATAGTGCTGTGTGATTTTACATTATTTTTACTAAACTATTGAAATGTACCTGTAATATTTAACCCTTTGTTGCATGCATTTTGAAAAAAAAAAAATTTAAGTTTGATTTACGGTAGTTTTCATGATTAAGCTATATATGGGAATTGGGAGGACTTTTAAAATTACAGTAAATACAGAAAAATGATTTATATTTAAAAAATTGATAATTTAATGAGCAGTGCAATAGCGCTGTGTGATATTTTACACTTTTCACATACATTTTGAAATACGTCTAGAAATTAACCCTCTGTTGCATGCATTATGAAAAAACTAAAGTTTAAAAAAATGTTTGATTCAGTTTTCATGCATAAGAAAAGTTAAGTAAATACCGGAGAAAAAAAAATGTATATGGATAAATGGATCATTTGAATAAGCAGTGTGGTAGTGCTGTTTTTGTTGTGTGTTACACTAGTTCACAGAATGACTGAAATGAACCTAGAATGATATTGCTGCATGCATTATAAAAAAAAAATAAATGCTTGTTCCAGTTTTCATGCATAAGAAAAGTTTTATTTTGGAATTGGGAGGACTTAAAAAAAAGTAATTACCTAAAGAAATGAATATGAATAAATGGATCATTTGAAAAATATAAGTAAATATAAATACTTTTTATTTAAATATAAATAAAAATTATACGATAACTGCAATATTCTCTATAACAGCTGCATCCATATCTGTTCCACTCCCACACAATGTTGCTTCAAGGCAACAAATATATTTTAGCATTTCTTCATGACAAATAATATATATGACTCTAAATGTTTTAAAATGGGGTTTACTCATCAGCAAATGTGAATCATATTTTGGATGAATCAGAAAAGCTTTTCTGAGGGCAGATCTCCAGAGCAAAAATGCCTCCTCCGCATGGCGTACAGTGCCAGAAAAAGATTTGAACATGCCTGCCAGGACATAGTGACAAAGAAAAAGCTTGTTATTGGTTTATTCAAAGCCATCCCTTCAATAGTAACCATTTAATTGCCATTTTATGTGCTTGGAATAAAATAAACCACATAAAACACAATAAAACACATTTGTTACCTTGAGGCATCATGCAGTAGAGGAGTCATGTATGTATATTGATTATTTGTGCATTGATAAACATCACACCACTTTTTTAGATGGCAGTTTGGGCTTTTCTGGTCTAGTCACTGTATGCTTGTGGCACTGTGTGCTTTGAAAGCAATCACCTCTGGTCTGGTTAGTCAGCTTAATGAGCTAGTTAATGACCCAGACCTTATGAGCGAGTTGTAACGATTACAAAAGAAACATTGACAGAGTTTCATACTAGCGCTCATTCAATGACAGCACAGTAATTATCTATGGAAATTAATCTATAGACTTCATATTTTATTTAAAACAAACGAAAACAAGGCTTTGAGGGATAGGAATGGAGGGAGGGGTGTCATGTGTGAACATTAACACACGTCTACCCCTCAAGCCCTTGTTTTTATTCACGTTAAATGACACGCTTCACCTCATTTTTGATTGAAGTACTACTCTTAAAATTTTAGTAGTCCTAAAATATGCTTTGTTTTCTTTAAGCAAATATATATGTATATTATTTTTAATTATTTTGATTTTGTGACCAATATTTTATTTTGGTCTAAATGTTTTTCATTCTGATAAAAAATGCGAACATGCAAAAGAAAAGGGGGAAAACGCTTTGTTTTATTTATATATTTTCTTTATTATTTTTTATGCAAATTATTTGTGGGGTTTTTTTTTATATATTTTTAATATTTATGCTAACTATCATTTCTTGTTTTTCTTCTTTTGATTTTGTGGTGAAATGCAACCAATGTTTTATTTTGGTGGAAATATGAGTAATTGTCATTTAAAAAAAGCAAAAGCAAAAAGCTTTGTTACATATATATAGAGAGAGAGAGAGCGAGAGAGAGAGAGAGAGAGAGAGAGAGAGAGAGAGAGATTTTGTTGTGAAATGTGACATTTTATTTTGAAATGGAAATATGTTTAAAATTATAAAATTATTTGATGGAAATATGTGTCATTTTCATTAAAAAAATTTAAAAAAGCTTTCGCTTTATGCAAAATATAATTTTGTATTTTCTTCTTTTGATTTTGTGGTGAAATATGACCAATGTTTTATTTTGGTGGAAATATGAGTAATTGTCATAAAAAAAAAAGCAAAAACAAAAAACTTTGTTACATATATATATATATATAGAGAGAGAGAGAGAGAGAGAGAGAGAGAGA